TGGGGGACCTCAGGGCAGGAGGGAGAGCCAGAGGGGAGATGTGACAGAGCCTCTGTGTCCTTAATGTCTCCCACCCTGGGCTGGGGTTTCCTGAGGACCCTGATGAGGGAAGCATGCTCAGGGGATTGCTTCCAGGATGAGGCAGGGACCCATGAGCAAGGCCAAGGAGGACTCAATCTTGGAATCTTTAAATCTCTAAGGGGCCAATCCTGGACAAAGGAGCAGAGGAGGTCTGTAGGGCCTCAGGGACAGAGCCAGGGCAGGTGGCTGAAAGCTTCAGGGACGCTGACTCTGGCTCACCATGCAGAACGGTCTTCTAGGAGCCAAGAAGCAAAGGGGAAAGGGGCTGCTTTGGGAAGAGTGAACTCCTGCCACTGGGTGGACATTCGAGGACCCAATGCGGCGGCGGAGGGGCGGGGGGGAACCAGACACAACCCTTCAGGTCCCTTCCAGCCTGGGAGTGCCGGACAGCAGAAGGACGGCCTGGCCATCCCCAGCGTCTGGGACCACAACCTGGGGGAGAGCTGTCCTCGTCTCCCGGGCATCACTTCCATCGGGCCCTGACCGCTGGGGAGTTCTGGGCTTCAGAACACTTCAATGCTCTCAAGGGCTTTGACCGAGCCTTGGTAGGAGAGATGCGGCAGCCACAGGAGGTGCTCTGAAGGGTGTTAATTGGCCTGCCAGCGAAAACAACAAAGGTTCTAAAGTGCATTTTCGAAACACTGGGTTCAGGAAGTCAAATCAGTTCCTTTGCTGCAGGACTCCCCAGAGCCTCAGGTATCTCAATGTGCCCTGTGAAGCTTCATGGGAGGGAGGGTGTATGCAGCATTTCCCAAACTTTTCCTTTTTTCCTGGGATAACCTGGGACATCTCACTTAACTAGTGACTCACTGAACAGCTGGGGAGATGCTGGTAGAAAGGAAGAGCCCTTGGCCAGAAGACAGGAGGTGTAGCTCCCCGCCACGCCTCTGCTAGAAACCTACCATGGGAGTTTGGGCAAGTTTCCCTCTTCTGGGCCTCAGTCTCCCCACCTGTGAAGTGTACAAGTGACCTGGTGTGAGTGCTCCGGAAAGCAAAAGCCCTATAAAGGGTGACAAACTGGTGTTGCCTCTTTGTTCCCGAACGGCTGAGAGGAAGATGATGATGGGCTAGACCAAAGCTAAACGGTTTCCGTTCCTCCCAGACAAAGGCAGAAGGAGGGAAGCAGAGATCTTTGTATGAGGGAGGATGAGAGAGGATTCTGAACGCTGAGGGGAGAAAGCAGAGGCCACAGCCTGGGAAGAGGAGGCGGTGGCGGCTGGGGCAAGTGGCTAGAGCGTTTAGAGAAGTCCTCAAGTTCTCAGATGATGGTGGAGGGCAAGTAGTCTTGGAGGCCGGAGTCCTTGTGGGCAGGGGGCTGGAAGGGGTGGGGCGAGGGCCAGCTTTGGCCTTGCGGACAGTGCACACCGGAACGTGGACGTTGGAGGTGGGTTCCAGCTGTCTCCTGCCTAGACAAAAGACTTCAGCCCAACCTGTTGGTGTCCACCTACCACCTCCAGAAGGCCGTTCCCGCCCAGCTCGGGGACAATACTGTCCCTTCAGGCCCCCTAGGCGGCGGCCTCCCGGGCGCCCTCACCTCCACCAGCGGGTAGGCGATCTCGTTGTAGATCTGCTCGGTGAAGTGGTCCATGTAGTAGGCGCCGTCGAAGGTGAACTGCTTGGGCGGCTCGTCGGCGGCGCCCGGGTTCTGGATGAAGCACTGGCCGCGCGCGGAGTCCACCGTCACCACAGGCTGGCAGTTCAGCTCCCGCTCCCGCCGGTTCATGGGGCGGCAGCGCACCACCACCTTCACCGACTCCGAGGCCATGGCGCCGCGGCGAGGGTCCCCAGGGGGCGGCCCGACGTGGGCGGCGCGGCCGGGACACGGGACCGCCGGGATTAGGGGGCGGGGCCAGCGCCGGGGCGGGGGCGGGGCCGGGGCCGCGGCAGGGGGCCGGGACTCCTCGGGGGGCGCCCAGAGAGGAGGGGCGCGGCGGGGTGGGGGGTCGCAGGACCGGAGCCGGGGCCGCCGCCTCCTCCCGCGCCCGGGCTCGCCCGTCCCTGAGGCCCGGCCCGGGGAGGAGGCAGTGGGGGGGATCCGCGCTGCAGGCGCCGCCGCAGGACCGGAGCCCCGGAGCCGCCCCAGCCGCCCGCGGGCACGCGCGCCGCCGCGGTGTTCGCGGTTGCCGGGCAACGCCCGTGGCGTCACAGCCGGCGGCTCCCGGCGTGGGCGGGGGGGGGGGAGGGGGTCCGCGCGTTCTCGGTACCCCGCCGCTGGGAGAGTCGCGCAGGAGCGTCCCCTAGCTGTTGGCTGGCCGGGGCGGCCTGCTTCGCGGGAGCATCAGCTCTCTCCTCTAATCCCCACTGCCCAGTTCAGAGAGGTTAAGCAATTTGCCCGAGGTTGCCCAGCTAGGACGGGGAGAGATACAGGAGTCAGGGCCTCACCCGGTAGTTAGAGACCTACCGAGGCGACAGGGACCTTGCTGCCTTTTATCCACATCCCTCTACTGACTCAGGGGAGGGCTGCCTCCGACAGAGCAAAGCGTCCTTCTAATGCCGCCCTCATTTTCTCTAAGACGCAGGTTAAAAAACAAAACCAAACTATTTGTGAGAGCCAAAAAGTCTTTTGGCGGGAGAGGTTGCCAGGCCAATATCCCCCGGCGCAGCCCAAATCCCTCTAGCCAGAATAGCGGCTGTCATTTTCCTGCAGGAAATACCCACTCAAGGTTTTACCAGAGAGAGATGATTTGAATAAATCTACCCACCCGGTTCCTTCAGGTCATCCTGGGCCCGAGGAGAGGATCCCTCTGGCTCACCATTCAGCACCAGCTGAAGGCATGGTTGGCAAACCAAGAGAGGCAAACTGGACAAAGACCTTGCCTTTCAAAGGAAAAGTCTGTACTAGACAATCCGAAGAAATGCATTTTATTTGTTTCAAGTCCACACAGTAAGGAGAGCAGGTGGTGCCGGTTGGAACAAAGAGAAAACTGATCTATGATTAAGACATTGAAGCATCTGCACACATGGGTCAAAAATCTTGCCCTATGCATACCACATGATGAATACTGTGTGATGGAATGTTAAAGTGCTTTGAGAACATTCCTGATACCTTGTCCACATGGAGGATGTGCTCAGCAAAACCCATCTCTCACAGAGGTAGGCTCTGGCCTCAGCCCGGGCCAGTCACCAGGTCTTAAACACACATCTCGGGTGCTGTAATTCTGGACACCGGATCAGCAAACCCCTCTCCTGGCCAGGGAAATGCGAGACCAGGCCTCCCACGAGGGACCATGCGTCCTGGTGGAAATGGCTGTGAATTGAGTCCCAGTCCCCCCTCCCATTCAGTGTAAACTCAGCGCTGTGGTTCTGGTGAGAACCCCCAAAGGACAGCCGCCTCCCACCCCTGCTATCCCGTGATGAGAGTGACATGGTCCCCAGCCCAGACCACTTCCGGGGCAGGCAGTTGTAAGCTGGGAAGCCCTGGCCTGACCTCCTGAGGAGCCTCCCTTCTTTCTCTTCCATCAGGCCTGCCCTCTGCCTCCCAGGAGTCAGAAATCCGTCATGTTCAAGGCACAGAACAGTCACATCCCACGCCCAGATGCGGGAGAGTGCAGCCCCCATATTCGTGACTCGCCCTCTGCCTCAGGAATAGAAGTTCCTCCAAAGTGAACTTGTGCCCTAAATAATTCGGGATTCATGTCAGTCTTTCGAGCTTAGTTATTATAAGGGGGTGGGGTACCTGGACCTGTCAGTCACTGCAGGGCCAGTGCCTTAGACCAGAGTCATTTCCCTGTACCCACCCTGCCTGCTGAGGCCAAGGCCCCTCTGGCAGGGCCCACATCAGATCCACCTTTGGATGGTTCTGCTCTGACCCCATCCCCAGTGGGGCAGGCCTGGTGAGGCGGCCCCTGACAACCATGGCCAGCACCACGTTATGGGAAGTGGACCAGAATCAGGTGGCTTTCCAGGCAGCCCCTAAACCCAGACTGGCCTGCAGGATGAGTTGAATAGGACCCTGGTCACCCCTGTATACCTGCGGCTCACTGCTGGCCCCTCCCAGTCAAATGGACAAAGGAAATGAACCCGTGTGTGTGTGTGTGTGTGTGTGTGTGTGTGTGTGTGCGCGTGCGCGCGCGCGCCTTGGTGGTCCTTGGGGGCGTGGGGGCAGGAATCACAACCTTGTGGATTTGACTGGAGACAAACCAGCCTTTCTAAGCGGCACAGATTCTTTGCCCTGTGGGATCACGTCCCTTCTATACACAGATGTCCACCTGGGTGCAGGCTTGGTGGGGGGCACGGCTCTTTGTCCATCCTGCCCTTCTGTGCCCTCCTAAGCCTCATTCCTATGAACAGAATTCATAGAATTCAATGGAAGACTCCCTTAACGTCAGATGCTTTGAGACACAGGCTGTGCTGTAAGCCTGGGTGCAGCTCAGCCCAGCCACTGTGCCCATCAGCTCCTCCAAGTTCTCTCTCTTTCTCTTCTGGACAGAGTGGCGCTCGCCCCCAGGTCCTTGCCCACGATGAGAACTCACTCCTGCCTTTCCAGACACCTCGCCCTCATGTGCCTGGCTACCTCTGGGTACTCTCGGGAGACTCCTGGTCAGGGCCCCAAGGCCTGGCCTCCTTAGGAGAGGGCCACATCCCTCATGAACAAACCTTCCTGCCCCCCCTTAGAAAGCTCCCCGCCTAGGAGTAAAGTGAAGCCCACAGACTAGCTTCCAAAGTCACCCAGCAAGTGAATGGAAGCCTGGAGCTCCGCCTGCCCCTCCTCCAATCTCGACAGGCCCCATGTCTCGTGAGAAGCCCCCAGCGGTCCCCAATGTCAGGGCTCCCCCCTACCACAGTCAGTGAAGTGATGGAAGACTGGTCCAAGGGGCAGAGTGACTGGATGGAACTGGTGACTAGCAGGGTGGCAGAAGGGCAGGGCGGCCTGTTGAGGCCCAGAACCCAGGGTGAGGTAGGTCCAGGGGGTTAGCCTCCTAGCCCAGGCCCTGCAGCTCTGCCTCTGACTTGGCATGACCAAGGGGCCGCAGTGTCCGGGTGGGTCTGCCCTCGGACCCGCAGTCCTGATCTTCATAGCTGGGGTTCAGACGGCCCATGTCCAGGGAGCAGAAGAGGCTGCGCTCGGTCCCAGCGTGGTGCTCCACCAGGGCCTCCAGGCTGGCAAACTCAGCAGGCAGGTGCTAGGGCAGAAAGGGCTGAAGCTCCAGCTTCCCCTCCCCCATGGCTCCGCTCTGGGCACCCACCACCCCCTCACAAGGGATCTTGCATGGAAGGCATGACCTGGGCCCAAGACTCTGGGGGCACCTGGGTGGCTCTCCCTCTGCTGCTCCCCCCACTTGTGCTCGCTCGCTCTCTATCAAATAATTAAATAAAATCTTAAAAAAAAAAGCCCCCCCTGGAGGCCCGAGGGCAGGGCCAGCAGGTCCAGTGACAAACTAGATGGAGAGTTAGTTAAATAAGGGGTGTGGCCAGAGAGAGCCAGTGGGGTACCGTGATGAGGCGAGTGGGCTCCGGGCCGCCGGCCAGAAAGGGCGGGGCTTGCGGGCCAGAGGCGGGGCCGGGGCGGGGCCGGCTGCCCGCACGCTCACCTCCACGCAGTAGCGGCCCAGGTGGTTCCGGAAGACCTGGTGGGGCACCACACCGCACTGTGTCCGCACCGACAGGCACCACTGGCCACTGGCGCCGGGCTCGGGCCACAGCAGGAAGGCCCCAAGCACGTCTCTCCGCAGCAGGGCGAGGGCGCTGGGCCTGGGAGGGCAGCGGGGAGAGGCTGAGGGCGGTACCCGGGCCTCACGTCGCTCCCCTGGGCGATGGCATAACCAGAAACAGTGCCTGACCGAGAGTAGGCCCTCCGCCAAGGGAAGCTTTTAGACTTCCTTCCTAAGGGGCGTCTAAGGGGTCCTTGACGGCTGACTGCTTCAAGACCCAACCCGGAGAGTTTTGAAGAGCTGGCGGTTAGCAAGCGGCTGCCCTGTGACAGGCGAGGTGCTGAGAGCTTTGCCTGAATGACCCCATTTGATCCTCTCCACAGGCCTGTGATTATCCCCATTTCACATCTGAGAAAAGAGGCCCAGTGGGGGAAGCCCCTGGCCCGGCGCCACCAAGGTCAGGAAGGCTCTGCCCTTGCACAGGAAGGTGCACACGTCAGGACCCTGGGGGAGGCCAGAGTCCATTCCTCTGCCGCCCCCCCGAGGGGCTGCGCACCAGCCAGGCCAGGCCCCTCCTACCTGGAGATGCCAGCAAAGGCCCAGATGTTCTCTGTCAGGCTGCCCTCGCTCTCCACCAGGCACGAGGGGCCACCAGGCCCCCGGGGCCACGCCTCCCACGCGGCAGGAACTGCGGAGACCACCCAGGGGTCAGAGGGAGAGAGGCCAGGCCACCCCACCGCTACAGACCCCATCCCGGCCATGCTTGTCACCTCACCAAGTCTCCCCCCATAGAGATACATCCGTGCACGGGCACAGCCCACTCACACCTGCTCACCAGCTGGAGCACATCCCATCCAATCTCCTAGGCAAGCCCCCGGGCATGCAGACCTTGGATGCACACTCACGTGGACACGGGCATATCCACACACAGGTCCAGCCCTCTGACTCACAAGGGCCCACCCAGGCCTGCGCCCCTGCAACCACGTGGCAGGCGAGCCCCTGCAACTCACAGGCCTCCCGAGCGGACAGCTGCAGCTGAGTCTCGTAGGTGCAGCCTCGGTAAGCCCCAGAGCGGATCACCTTGCTGCGAATGGCCTTCTTGCGCACCAGCGTGGGCGAGCAGTAAGGATTCCCCAGGCGGGCATGGCGGGTGCCCCCTCGGCCTTCTGACTCTGGCAGCTCCTTCTAGGGCACCAAGAGGGGCCCACAGGGGCAGGCAGATTCAGGCCCATGTCAGGTCAGGCAAAGCCCCTTCCTGCTGATGTGCCGCATTCCCCTCCCACGACCCCCAATCCCTCGCCCAGTTCCCTTGTCCACTGCCCACTCCCTGGCTGGGGTGCAGCATACCCCACCGGCTGCAGGCCCCTCTGCTGGCAGCCGCCGGAAGGAGACCAGTGCGTGCACATTCTGTGAGAGCTGATCACGGCTGAAGGGTTCCCGTACTAGGCCAGGGGGGCCCCCAGGGCTGGACAGTGGCTTCACGGGCATGTCCCCTGCAGACCCCAGGCAGGGCTCAGGCTGTGCCCGCTGCTCAGGGTGCTGCAAGAGGTAAGCGAGCTGGAAGGATCGGCAGAGCAGCAGGTGCAGGGTCTGGACCTAGGGAGGAGGAAGGGGCTGGCTCATGTGGGACAGGTTTCCTGGGGGACTCCTTAGACATCCACCCACTCACCATTAGGGCATGCCCCCCTTGGCTTGGGATCCTCTTCCCCATTCTTCCTGGAAAAACTCCCTCTCACCCCTCAGAACACAATCACGCAGTCCCCCCTACCAGCTTCCTTTGTTCATTTGACAAATCCAGAGCATCTGCTTTGTTCCAGACAGCATGCTTGGGGTTGGGAATACATAGACTAAATGCACTCCTGCCCCTGGGTTGACTACCCCACCCTATGTCTGTGCCCTTTTAGAGCAGTGGCTATGAGCCCAGACCCTCCAGTCCTGCAACCTGGGATCCAGTTCCAGCTCTGTCACTTAGGGGCTGCTGTGTGACTCTGGGCAGATCATGGCACCTCCGGGCCTCAGTTTCCCCATCCCCACTTCCCTGTGCTCTTTAGTGAAGTGGAGCACAGAGAGCCCCCAGCAAAAGCCGACTGCTCCGGGGCCAGTATGTTCTACCCCAAACACACACTATCCAGCCCCAACATGTTGGAACCGTGAGCTTTGGAAGATCAAGGGCAATGTCTCAGCCACCTGTCCTTCCAGGAGCCTGCACAGAGCTTGAGATACAGGGTAATGGCAAATGTTGCTAGATGGCACCGAGCCCAGCCTCTGCCGGCCACACAGTTGGCTGCCAAGGCTCTGCTGTTCATGGTGGTCGTACTGGCTTTGACTTCGGGGATCTACCCACTCACCCGCTAGCCCCACGGGGCCACGCACTAGAGCAGTTCAAGACCTGGCCCCAGTTTCTACTCTTAAAGAATTCCATTGTCTGTGGTTAGGGACAGACGGATGATAGAGTGTGGTTCATGTCCCGGGACCTCAGAAGGAAGAGTGGTCCAGAGGACTCCAGGTAGGCTTTCATAGACACATGGGCTGGCCTTGAAGGGCAAACTGGAACTTGCCAGAAGGGGAAGGGAATTCCAGGCCAAGAGACAGCATGAGCAAAGGCCTGGCAGTGTGACCACCCAATTTCTAAGCACATGGCCTGATCCCCACTTCCAGGCCCCAGAGAATACTGAGGCCACTAACCTGCTTTTGTGGAGTCCTCAGTGGGCAGAGCCACAGAAGGAGCCGGTGGGGCAAGGAGTGCCTGTCTGAAGGGGACTCCGGCCAGCTTAGCTGAGCCCTCCAAGGTCTTGGTCCCCAGAGCCCATGCTGACGCACGGCACACCCCCAAGCCCGGCCCTGTGCCCCAGATACCTCTCCAGGCTGGCTACCCACAAAGAGGTGGCAGAAGAGCTTGCTGGCCGGGCTCTGGGGGTTTCGGGCCATGAAGGCAAACTGGCAGTCAGCTGGGCACCAGGTAGAGTAGAGGATGCGCCTCAGAGCATGAGCCATCAGGAGCACCTGGGGAGTGGGCAGGATGGCCTCCATCAGACCCGCCACGTGGCCTGCAGCTGCTGGCCCAGGGGGTGCAAGCCCTGTGGGCCCCACACACCTGCTGGCTGGTCTCTGGGGCCTGCCCTCCAGCCTGGGTGCCCAGCTTAGCCTCCCCCCGCCGCCCCATGGCTCCTGGGGGAAGGACTCTTCCCTCCTTCCATGCCTGCCTAAGCCCTCCTTCAAATGGGAACCCACATCCTTCACATGGCCTCCCAGCTCAGTCCCTTGCTCCCCACTGCTAACCTGCTGGCTGGGATTGCCCCCCCCCCACCATGCTATGGAACTGAGCGGCAAAGTGCTCACGGCCTGCAGGGTCACGGGGAAAGGCAGTGGCAGCGGGCCGTGGGGTGCATGCCTGGTCTCTGGAGGCAGATGACCAGGGTTTGAATCTGGCTCTCTGGGTGACTTGGGCAGGTAAGCACAGTCCTCTGAGCCCTTGTGACACTTATTGAGTGGGGACAGTGACCCCTCTGATGAGGTTGTGGGTGGGGGTCAGTGAGACCTCGTGCAAGTGGCCCAGGACCTGACCCCAGGGCCCCTGCAATGCACACCTCTGGGACACGATTCGCATCAGTCTTCGGAGACTGGCCCTGGGGTTGTGGGGTGCACAGTCTGGCACAAGGTTAGTGTTCAGCCCACAGCCCCCCAGCCAACCCTGGGCAGGCCTACCCAGAGGCCCGGGGCCTGCAGAAACCCGGGGCGGATGGTCCTGACACTCAGGCCAGGAGGTAGCGCCTGGAGATTTTGGAGGACCGGGGCTGGGGGTGAGAAACCGTTGCCAAGCTGAGGGTCGGGCCCTTGGAGAGAGGACGTCCAAAGGCCCAGAGCAGGCTGGAGAGGCAGGGATGCTCGAGGGGTGGCGCAGGGTCGGGTGCATTCGGAGGGAGGAGGACACCGGGCCTGTCCAGTCCTCACCTGCACCCACACAGGCTCCTACCTCGCCTTCCCCGCTGTAGATCTTGAGGCCCTGAAGGCTGAATTTCAAGATGACGGCCCGGCGTCGGGGACAATCCTAGGTGGGAGAGAGTTGGTCGGGGGCAGGCATTACCTTCCAGGCCCTGCCCTGCCCTGCCCTAGGACCAGTCACCACAGGCTGGTCAGCCAACTCCACCCTGGCTGCCAAGGGACTGGGCCCTGGAGAGTGGACTCCCCAGGAGCTGGGGAGGTGTGGATGGGGCCTGGCAGACCACTCCCCAGCCAGGGCCTTAGCTGGCCATGTTATGACCATCCCCTACATCTCCCATCTGTGGCTTCCACCCATGGGGCAGGTCATGACTGCCCAAGGGAAAGCAAGGGAAAGGATCCCAGGGCATAAGGGACATGGCTTCAGGTGCCTGGGTGTGGCCCTCACTGGGCCCACTTCTCAGAATGGCTTTGGTTCCGCCCCTCCCTGGCCCTCACCCGCTCCATCTCTATGATGGCCGCAGGGGCCACTTCAGCCTGACCTTCCCAGGCTGTGATCCCTGCCGGGGACAGGCACGTGCCACCACCACCACCCCCTCCAGCTCCCTACCTTCAGTGCCCACAGCTGTTGTTGCACGAGCCACACGCTCTCCTGGGTGTCCAGGTCGTCCACCGGGAAGGAGCCCACATACTGCTTGGGGGTGTGGTGAGGGCGGGAGGGAGGCAGGGCAGTCGGGACCATGGCTCCTGATCCAGTCCTCCAGATTGCCCCCCCTGCTCTCCGCCCCCCCACACACACTCTGCTCTGTTGGGTAAGCTGTGGACAGTGACAGAGCACTGGACTCGGGGTCTAGCGGGCTCTGCTGCCTTCCCAGCAGGTGGCCTTGGTCAAGCCCCTTTGCCCCTCTGAGGCCCCATCTCCTCATCTGTGCACACACACACACATTCTCGAGGCTGGGGCGGGGAGGGAAGATGGGAATAGCTCCTCCCCACCCCCCAGGACCTGCACTCAGTCCCCGCCCACCAGAGCACACCCCATGGGGGTGGCCCCACCCACCTGGGCGAACTTGGTGATGCACCTGGGCCGGTGAGGGGCAGGGCCGCAGTCAGAGGCCCTCCGGCCCCCTGCCCCAGCCCTCTGCATGGCCCCCAGGGTGCCCAGTTTCGAGCTCCGCAGAAGAGGAGGCTGCAAAGGGGAGGGGAGAAAGGATGGCTCCCGGGTGCTCGAGCCGCACTGCTCCCCCTCAGAGGCCAGTGAGCTCCTTCATCCCATAAATCCTTCCTGAGGCCTTGCTGTGTGCCAGGCAATGTCCAGGGCACTGCGGACACAGAGAATACACAGCCCAGAGCAAAACGATAGACTCCCTCCTGCCCTCAGGGAGCCAACAGGCTTGTGTGGATGGACACTGAACAAATCAATCAGTAAGACAGGGAATACGCTAGACGGTGATAAAGGAGACAGAAGGCGGGGAAAGGCAGGCGGGGGTTGCTGCAAGGAGGAGTGAGCTTGGGGGAAAGAGCTGAAGGGAGGGGTGTGGCAGGCTACCTCTGTGCTCTGGCCTGGGCCTGCCCCGGGGGGTGGAAGTAGGGGTGAGAGCCATGTAACCAGCCTGCACAAAGTGCCAGGGGAAGGGGGGCAGCCTGGGAAGGTACCACCTGGGAGGAGGGGTATGACACTGCCAGAACAGTATGCAGAGGCACAGGGAGGAAAGCAGCAGAGCCCCTGGGTAGACCTTACCAGAAGAGCGGCCAGAGCCAGGTTGGGATCAGCCTTAAATGTCACCCCAAGGGAATTTAGGCTGTGCGCTGTGGGCAGTGGGGAGCCATAGCAGGTTCCAGGGCAGGAGCTCTGTGCTCTATGGGAGTGGCCCATGAGCTGGATGCCCTGAGCTGCTGAGGCTAGCGACATGCTTCACAGGCCCTGGCTCATTCGGCCAGCCTGACCGAAGCCCCCAGGTGGCTGGGGAGCCCTGCCCCCCAACCCAGCCCAGGTTTTGGTCTTTTGTGGGGCCCCTTTCCCAGAGCCACTAGTGGAAGAGAGAAGGAAACCTCTCTTACTAGACTGTCCTCAAGGACAAGGATAGTGCTCACTCCCCATTAGAGCTCAGGACCACAGCTGGTGCACAGCAAATGCAGAAGTAAGGCATCTTGAGAAAGAATGGCTGATTACCTCTGCCTGGGTCCCCCATGACTCAGCTCCCTCAGTCCCTCCTGGGGCCAACTTAGACCCCACCTCCATCCGGCATCCTGCCTGGCTACTCACCAGACTACTAACAATCACTGCACTTTGGATCAGAGAGACCTGGGTCCAAATGCTGTGTGACTTTGGGCAAACGGCCCCACCTCTCTGAGCCTCCATGTCCTCATCCCCAAACGTGGGATCATGTGAGGGCTCCAAAACAGAATGGAGGAGCAGGAGGGACGCTTCACAGGCACACACAGAGGATGGGGGACCCCAAAGCCTGCTGTTCAGGAGGGAGCTTGGGAGGACAGCGAGGTCAGACCACTTTCAGGGCCCTCCTTACACTGAAAGACAGGAAGACCTCCCAGTCAAGGAGAGCAAGGCAGAAGGAGAGCCTGCCTGGGAGCCAGGATTCCCCCAGGAGAAAGCAGATATCAGGGCGCTGGGCAGGAAATGGGTGTGTCCTGGGGGTGCTCAGGAACTGACACTCCCAGCCCCAAGAGCCCAGGAACGGCCCCTACCTCTGCCCGCCCAGACCTTCAGCCCCAGGTTCAGCCAGGGTGGGGCGGCAGCCACCCACTACATTCTGGGAGCAACCCCCTACGTTCAGTGAGTGGCCAGAGCCAGAAGAGCCAGAAATAGGGGCTGCATGGTCCCCTGGACGCCCACCTGCTTCCCCCCTCCTGTACCCTCTCCCCTCCTGCTTTTCTGGCCTCGCACCCTCCACTTTTTGATCGTGATCATTTTTCACATCATGTCCACTGCCTATTAAAAACCATGTTTTTTTTGGGTCCATTTTATGTTCAAATACAACAAAGTTAGATGTGTAACTGGCACAAAAGCTATCTGGCCGCTGTTCCAGGCATGGAAGCGGGGCTTCCAGGGAACTCGCCTCTTGACTTCATTATCACATTATGGGCTGGGATGCCCTAGACGGCGGAGAATAAAAGACCAAACCACAAATGGGGCAAAAGGGAGAGAGGGAAAGAGGAGAGGCTAAAAGGCAGCCAGCAGATGTGGGAACAGAGAAGTGAAGACAAAATAATAGATAAAGGAGGGGTGGGAGGAGGGGGAGATGAGGAGCACATTTCCCATCCTGCCTGTGCTGACACAGCCCCTCAGACCCTCTGGGTGTGACGGCAAAGAGCCGCGCGGGTCCTCAGGCACACTCACGCTCTCTCTCACACATGCCGAGACAGCTGTGTCTCGGGCTGCGAACCGCCTCCTCCCTCCAGATCCAGAGCGGCAGCTTTCTTGGGGACACTCCACTGTCCAGAGAGTGGGGGTGGGGAGCACCCCCCCCACCATCACCTGATCCTTCCCCAATCCCCCAAGAAACTGGAAGTTTCTCTCTTCCTCTCCCTGCCTCCCAGTGCATGTCAGCCCCAGGCCGGGATCTGAGGGCTGCCCAAGGGATGAGTGAAGGTACCAGGCTCACCCTAACCCCAGAAACAGACCTGGGAACTCGCTCTGGGCACAAACACCCATTTATCTCTTTGGAGCACCCTTGTTTTTCCAAGGTTTTACATGGGAACCTGGCTGGGCCAGCACCTTTCTAGGGGGACACCTTTGGAATGAGGCTGGGGCTCTTCTTTTGCTCCTCTGAGAATTTCCAGGTGGTCCTGCTTAGAGACAGGGTACTGGATGGGTTGACTTGCCTTGAGAGTCAAGGGTAGAAGCCCTCTACTGCACTGCACCATAGCTGAATTGAGTCATGCGGGAGGGTGGGGGGGCACCTTTATAGCATCCTGGGAGACCACTCAGCCTGGACTCTGGGCTTAGCAAAGTGTAGCTCAGAGGGGTGAAGCCACTTGCCCAAAGTCACACAGCATAAGGGAGAGTTGGGAAGCAAACCTGGGTCTCTGGGGGCTCTTCCCCTAGGCCATGGCAGTGTCCTTCTGCCCAGACTCCTTTCCCAAGTAAGCAGGGTGTCCACCATGGGAGCCTGGCGAGTGCCAGTCTATCCAGCTGCCGGGAACACCTCAGGTGCTGGGGGCTGATCTTACCAGTGAAACAGCTGCTTTCTCAGTCTGATGGCCTCCCTTGCCCAGATGGTCTGGGGCTGCCAGAGCCACTCTGGTCACTTGCCCCACCTCCACTACTCCACTACCTTTGGCTCAGCCACACAGAAGAGCCTGCTCCCCTGTCGGGACACACTCCTTCTGCCCTAGGCCACCAGGTGGGAGGGCACTGGACCAAGCAGCCAGAGGTCAAGATCAACATCATGGATTGTGAGGCTCACAAGACCTCTCGGCCTCTACTTCCTCACCTGTAAAGCGGGGATAGTAATAGCAGCTGCCTCCTGGGGCTGCTCATTTATCCGCTCCTCTGACAATATTCCACGCGCCAACCATGTGCGCGGTGAACAAAACCAAGTCCCAGCCCTCGGGGAGCGCCCAAGCAGGGCTGGGGGGACGGTACAGGAAATCGACATTTCAGGGGAGCTTTAAGTGATTTGGAGAAAGATACAGTAGGGTGAGGAGGATCGTGATGTGTGTGTGTGTGGGGGGGTGCTATTTAATACAGGCTGGTCGAGGATGGCCTCTCCGAGCAGACGACAGGGAGCGGAAAGTGCTGTTTTCAGAAGGCACGGCCGGGGCCAGCGCCCGGGCGACACGGAGCGCTCCCCCGCGTGGGTCACTAGTCCTGCTATTATTGTCACTCCTGTGCAGCGCGGCCAGGGCTATGGGCTGGCGGTCCCCGGCTCGGCGCAGAGAAACTCCCCGGACCAACCGAGGGGCGAGCGAGGCAGGACGCTGGCGGAGGGGACGGTGGAGGTGACGGCGGAGGTGATGGACGGCCACGGTGGCGGTGATGGAGGGAAGCGGCCGAGATGCTCCTCCCCAAGCGAGACCTCCTCCCACCTCCGCGCCCGGGGACCGAGCCCCACTCCCGGCGATTCGCCAGCCCCGGCCCCTTTCCCGGCTCCCCCGCGCGCACTCACCGCGGCCGCAGCGTCTCGAGTCCCGTCGCCGCAGCTTCGCGTTGCACCCCCGGCGCGCCCTGCGCGTCTCCGCCGTTCGCCCCCCGCCCCCCGGCGCCCCCCACGTGGCCGCGGGAACCAGCACCCTGTATCACCTGGCGGCGGCGCCCGGCCCTTGCCAGCCAATCGTCGCCCGCGGAGCCGCTCCGATCGGGAGCGCCGCCCAATCAGCGGCCGCGAGGGGCCCTGGCACCGCCCCTGCCTGCTCAAGCCGCGGCGCTCCGCCTTAAAGGGCCTGAGTGGTCGTTCCTGTCCACCGCGGGCCTCTCTTCTCGGGCTCAGTGCCCAGGGCCTCGCTGAAGGTTCCCTCTTTGAGGAGACCTTCCCCTCCTGCCCCCTAGCTAGCTCCTCCTCCTCCAAGCGGCGGCTCCAGCAGCTCCTCCTCCGGGAAGCCTTCCTAGACCACCAGTGACTCCACCCCCTGCAGAGCCCTCGCGACTCTCGCTGGTCACCCCACTCCTCTTACTAGAGTGCGAGCGGCACTGATCAGGAGGGGCCTCCATCCCCAGCGCGCAGGACAGAGCCTAGTTCGTTCAGTCATTGTCGTCTCGACGAGAGAACGAATGCGCTCAGGGCAACCGGACCAGTCTCACCTTTCCTTCCCTCAGCCTCGGATGGTAGTGGGGGTCGCGCATCCTCTCCCTCATCCTCTTCCCGCCGGGCCGGTTTCCTAGGAGGATCCGAGTCTGCCCAGCTCGGCGTGAACGTTGGTCCCTGCACAGGTGCCGTGACCATATCCTTCGGGTTTGCAGGGAAATCCATTTAGATGGGGGAAAACTGGTGTACAGATCCAGCCTGAGTGTCAGCCACAGCTGTGTGGAAAGCATTTTTGTTCCCATCAGGCCAGGCACTTTGTAGGTGCCAAAAAATACATTGCAAACCCAATTTAGCTCAGCCTTTGGTATGTATGGGAAGCGTGAGTTGCGCAGAGAGGAAACACCAGAAACTGCACACGCGCCATTCCTCAGAGAAAAAGACA